TGATTGAGGAGCTTTCTGATGACGAACTTGAGATAGAACCGCTGGTCAATCATGTTTTTGCTGTTGGCTGGCAACGAGAACCTTTAGAGATAGAACCCCGAGTCCAGCTTCGCCCATCTGTGGAGGAACCCCCTAAGTTAGAGCTCAAACCTCTACCCGAAAATCTAGAGTATGCCTACTTAGGGGAGAACGAGTCTTTACCAGTTATCATTTCTTCTGAGTTGACTACCGGTCAAAAGGAAGCTCTCTTAGCTGTTTTAAGAGAGAATAGGGAAGCCATTGGATGGACCATGGCTGATATCAAAGGGATTAGTCCAACCATTGTTCAACACCGAATCCATTTGATAGATGATGCCAAACCTACTAGAGATGCTCAACGTAGGTTAAACCCAGTGATGAAAGAAGCCGTTAGGAAAGACATTCTGAAATGTCTCGATCATGGGATCATTTATCCCATTTCTGATAGTTCATGGGTGAGTCCAGTCCAAGTTGTTCCAAAGAAATCTGGGATCACCGTGATCCAAAATGAGGCTAATGAGCTGATTCCCACTCGAATCCAAACCGGATGGCGAGTTTGCATTGACTACCGAAAGCTCAACTTAGCCACTCGGAAAGATCACTTCCCTCTTCCTTTCATTGACCAAATGTTAGAGCGTTTAGCAGGACACGAGTTCTACTGTTTCCTGGATGGATATTCAGGTTACAATCAAATCCCTATCGCTCCAGAAGATCAGGAGAAAACCACCTTCACTTGCCCGTATGGAACATTCGCATACCGACGCATGCCTTTTGGCCTGTGCAATGCACCGGCCACATTCCAACGTTGCATGATCAGTATTTTTTCCGACATGGTAGAGCGATTTCTCGAAATTTTCATGGATGACTTTTCCATTTTTGGTGACACATTTTCCCAATGTTTGCATCATCTTAAACTGGTCCTAGAACGGTGTAGGGAGAAAAATCTGACTCTCAATTGGGAGAAATGTCATTTCATGGTCAAACAAGGCATTGTCTTAGGACATGTAGTTTCCAATAGGGGAATCGAAGTGGACAAAGCTAAGGTAGATCTCATTTCCAATCTCCCTCCTCCCAAAACTGTCAAAGATGTCAGATCGTTTCTTGGTCATGCTGGTTTTTACCGACGTTTCATCAAGGATTTCAGCAAAATTGCTAGACCCTTAACCAATCTCTTAGCCAAGGATACGTCATTTGTCTTCTCTCCCGACTGCCTCAAAGCTTTTGAATATCTGAAAAAGGAGCTAACCACAGCTCCTATCATTCATGCACCGGACTGGACCTTACCCTTTGAACTGATGTGTGATGCATCTGATTCTGCAATCGGTGCTGTTTTAGGACAACGGTTTGATGGAAAACCGCATGTGATCTACTACGCCAGTAGGACTCTGAATGATGCCCAGCAAAACTACTCTGTCACAGAGAAAGAGTTTTTAGCTGTAGTCTTTGCCTTAGAAAAATTCAGGTCCTACCTCATCGGTTCCTTAACCAAAGTTTTCACTGATCATGCCGCACTAAAGTATCTTTTGACCAAAAAGGATGCTAAAGCACGGCTCATTAGATGGATTCTCCTTCTTCAAGAGTTTGACATTCAAATTCTTGACAGAAGGGGAACAGAGTACCCCGTAGCAGATCACCTTTCTCGACTATCGAACGCACCAACATTAACTGTTCCGAACAATGAGCATTTCCTTGATGAACAACTCCTAGAAATCCAGTCTGTTCCCTGGTTCGCCGACATTGTGAACTACATAGTCATGAACCAGATCCCTTCTCATTGGTCCAAACAGGATAGATCCCGTTTTCTCTCCCAAGTAAAATACTTTTACTGGGATGATCCATATCTGTTCAAATACTGTCCTGACCAGATCTTTAGGAGGTGTGTTCCCATGGAAGAAACTAGGAGTGTTCTATCCTTTTGTCATGAACAAGCCTGTGGGGGCCACTTTGGTCCTAGAAAAACAGCTGAAAAAGTTCTCCAATCTGGGCTGTATTGGCCCACTCTCTTTAAGGATTCATTCGAGTTTTGCAAAACCTGTAACCGCTGTCAGCTTTTAGGGAAGGTCACTAGAAGAAATATGATGCCCTTACAACCCATCTTATCCGTTGAACTTTTTGATCTGTGGGGTATCGATTTCATGGGACCATTTCCAAATTCCTTTGGAAATGTCTACATTCTAGTAGCCGTTGAATACATGTCAAAATGGGTTGAGGCGGTAGCTTGCAAAACTAATGACAACAAGGTCGTTGTCAAGTTTTTGAAAGAGAACATTTTTGCCCGGTTTGGAGTACCTCGAGCGATCATCAGTGATAACGGTACACATTTCTGTAACCGTTCTTTCGAGGCTTTGATGAGGAAATATTCAATCACACACAAATTGTCAACTCCTTATCACCCCCAAACCAGTGGGCAAGTAGAGGTCACAAACAGGCAGATCAAACAAATCTTAGAAAAAACAGTTAATCATAACAGAAAAGATTGGTCTGTAAAATTGTGTGATGCTCTGTGGGCGTATAGAACAGCTTTTAAGGCCAATTTGGGAATGTCACCATACAGACTGGTATTCCTACCAGTAGAATTGGAACATCGAGCAATATGGGCAATAAAACAGTTAAATTTTGACTCAGACTCAGTAGGTAAGAACAGATTGCTTCAAATAAATGAGTTGGAAGAAATTCGGAATGATGCATACATAAACTCAAAAATTTACAAAGAGAAAACAAAAATTTTTCATGACAAATCAATTTTGTGAAAAAATTTCTCTCCAGGACAGAAAGTTTTATTGTACAATTCAAAATTGCATCTCTTTCCGGGAAAATTAAGATCAAGATGGACAGGTCCATTTTTTGTCAAACAAATTTTTTCACATGGAGCTGTCGAGATAGAAAATCCTAAAAATGGTAACATTTTTAAAATAAATGGTCAACGTCTGAAACCATTTTTAGAATTTTCTACGCTCGGAGAGGAAGATGTGTTGGTTCTTCATGAACCTCATTATAAAAAATATATACATATTTTCTCACCTTTTTGTTTTTCACTTAAAAAAAAACACCAAAATTTTGCATAAGTAACATAGTTAAAATAAAAAAAATTACTTACAATTTTCCTCTTTTTTTTGATTTCTTCATCCTCATACTAACAGTAATTGCAGATCCTTATCATCATTGTCAACCGAACAACTGTAAGTTCTCCAATTTTATCTGCTTTACTTTGTGCTTCAGCGAATTTGCATTGAGGACAATGCAAAGTTTAGGTGTGGGGGTGAGAAATACATATTTTCCTCTTTATTTTTTACCTCTGAGGACAATGCAAAATTTAGGTGTGGGGGTGGGAATCAGTTATTTTTTTCTCTTTATTTTACAATTTTAGTGCATTTTTGTCATTTTTTTTTCTTTTCCTTCTTGCCAAATTGATAGAGTTATGTAATAATTAATTTATTTGATACATTTGAAATTTTCTAATCCCTAGTTGGTTATTTACTTAAGTTCACCTTTTATGATAACTCTAAATAAATTTCTTAAGAAATGATTTTCAAAGTAGTATACTTTATTTAAGCCTTAACTTGGATTTTTATTTAAAATAATGAAATTTTTGCATGCTTAACTTAGAGTTGAAAATAATTTTTTTCAAAGTGTCTTGATTTACATATTTTCAAAATATATACACATATACAAAAAAAAAAAAAAAGATTTTGCAAAAGAAGAGTGCGAAAAATGGGCACCAAAAACGAAAAAAAAACTCTTGAATTTAAGGTGATTCTATCTTATAAAGCCTAAGTTGACTGAGCAATTAAGCCCAAGGAGTATCTCTATACTTAATGACCTAAGCCCAATTGGGTTGGGATTCATTGGCCCAAAACTCGTTAAATGGTCACTTAGAAAGCCCGTTAAAATAGAAAACAATCACCAAGAATTAGAGAGTGAAAAAAAATATATATATATATATATATATAACACTAACCATTGTTTTTATATATTGTTGTTTTGTATATATGGTCTTGAAAAACAATTTTTGATCAAGAGACTTGAAAGTTATTTAAAACAAAGAGTTGGCATGTTCTTTTCAAAACTTTTTAATTAAATTTCTAAGATTTGACTTGGTTTTGTATTGCTATAATGAAAAAGATTTTCTAGGGGATTTACATTGGAGTTATATATAAAAACGTTTTCTTGATTATTAACTAGCTTCAATTAGAATGACTAAATATATCAAGAAAAATCTGTTATTTCTGACTTATTTAACTTGGCAAGTTGACCGAATTTTGTGGGTATATTCACTGCAAACCCTCACGAGACTACAACTCGTCCACTAGGGTAACCTAGGGGTTTAAAGGCTTGTTGTATGCGCTAAATACAACCGCGATTCCTGCAAAAGTGAGTTAGGATTTTCTTTTTATTTTCTTTGCTAGAGGACTAGCAAAAGTTTAGGTGTGGGGGTATTTGATAATCACATTTTATTACAATTTTATACCCTCATTATCTATTTTATATGAATAAATATACCACTAATAATTGTTTTTATCTTTAATTACAGGTTAATGAAGAATAAATCCCAAAAATCTCATCTCTCAACAAAGACCCTTGAGTAAATGAAGAAATAAGAGAAATTCAACAAAGACTTAGTGAAATATTTGAATTTTGAAGGACAAAAGCCCAAATTTGTTCCATTCTTACATGAATTTGTCCTCTAAGATTTTGATAGCTTGAAGGCCCAAAAGCCCATTACATGAATTTGCCATTGTTGGATTTTCATCATGAACACTCTTTGGACTTTGCTGCACAAATTCCATAAGTCAAGGGACCGGACATGCTTTTCATTTTCAAGTGGGCCGAATTTGATTGGTTGGAGATTTAAATGTTCATTCTGCAGATAAGGGACCGGACATGCTGGGCTAGAGGTTTAAAGATCAAATGAACTCATGGGCCGGACTTGTTGATTTTTGCAAAATCATGCAAGGGGCTGGAGACTTGAAAAGCAAACAAAATCATTGTGAACCATGGCCGGACATGTGAATGGACTGCAGCTCTTCAATTTCAAATGAACTCATGGGCCGGACTATTTGAATCATCAATGGGCCAAATCCATGACCGGACCTGTTGATTAAAATGAATCATGGACTTGGCTTTCAAAACCAAATGAGGACCGGACTTGTGATTTTGAAAATCAAAATCATTTTAATGAAGAAATGGGCCAGACTTTGGTGATTGGATTTTTATTTTTCTTTTGAAAATCAAATGAATCATATGGGCTTCCTATATTTGGGCTAGAGAAGGACAAAAAGCAAATTCAAAGGTGGAGATTGTGGCTTGGGGCTCAAGAAAAATCCAATGGCTTATATTCATTGAAGATTACTATAAATAGGGGTAGAGAGTGAGGGGTTAGAGGTGTGAAAATTTTGTAAACTCCTTTTGGAGAGGAGGGCTACTCTTAATTGAGAAGGCCTTCCAAAAATTGTAACTTTAGTTGCAATTAATAAAAATAATTTTTTCCTCTTTAAATTTGTTCTTTCTCCTCTTTGTTGAATGATGAGGATGGAGATGAAGAGCAATTTGAAGGTTTGCATTTCTTTTCTCTTTTATTTCTTTTTAGTAATTTCTTTATTATTGCTTATTAGTTAGATTTAAATTCATGCTTGTAGTGTAGATTTATTTTCTTGTCTTTTTTATTTCTTTTTGCACTTTAATTTGTAGAGTAGATTTATTTTTCTTGCATTTAATTTCTGCAATTTATTTTGTAGTTTAGATTTTTATTTTCTTTGTAATTAGATTTATTTCTTGTTCATAGTTTAGATTTTTCTTTTCTTTTTAATTTTGTAATTAGTCTTCTTTTTCTTGTTTTATTTCTTAAAGATGTGAATTTAATTCTTGTAGGAAATTTAGAATTATATGAAACTAGTCTAATTTCCTTTATATTGTATGAATTATTCTCTTGTACTTAAAATGTTCATGTTAGGATAATCAACTAGAAAACTAATCGGTAGAAGAAGAATTTGATAATCTATGCTTATCTTAAATGGTTTGATAGGTTATGCTTATGAATTCTAGGATTATTATCATGTTGTTGTTCTTATCATGAATAGTAATTTTAGCTTAGATGATAATTTGATAGGTTACACTTTTCTTAAATGGTTTGATAATCTATGCTTAATAAATCTAAGTTGAAATATGATAAAAAGAGAATAGTTTATATTTTGTAATTGAAATTGGTTAGTGGATTATATTCTAGATTTCTTACTTCTTTTGAATCCTCCATCTTGACTTTCTTAAATTTTCTTTTCATTCTTGGTTTTATTTCTTGATTTTATTCATTCATATTTCTTGCCTTGTGATTTCATTTATTCTTTAATTCTTCCTTCTCTCCTCTAAAATTCAATTTATTATCTTTTGCATATATTCATAACAATCACTCAACAAAATCACACTTATTCTTTATTCCTAATTGTCATGCACAAAACATAAGAATCATGTTTAATAATCTCTTAAAATCACCTTCCTCGTGGGATCGATATTTTTTATACTATAACTTGATAAATTGTGCACTTGCAATTTTTGGTACATAATTATGCCGCATCAATAGGGATATGGAATACCAGTCTTCTTCACTTCTTGAGCGGATACTAAGGCATTGACCTTATTCTCCAGCTCTTTCATCATTTCATCATTGCCCGTATTCTTCTTCAGGCAATTTCGGGAAGGAATAACTGGACCACCCCCAGCGTTATCATTCTCGGTGGGACCACCCCCAGTATTTTGATCAACAGGAGGGGTATCAACGTTGATATTTTCTTCAACGTCTGAATCACTATGTTCTTGATTGGTAGCATTGCAATAGCTAGATTCACCAATCTGATTTGATAAGGCTTGAATCTGTTGGTCATGCAGTTCCCTTATCCGTTACACAGTCATTTCCATTTTGAATTTGAAATTCTCTTTCTACTTAGCCAGAACGTCTTCGAGGATTTTGGCTATTTGTTCAGCCTTGATCATTAACGCCTCACGAGATTGTCCTGTGCTGGACACTATATTATCACAAGCGATCACGGAGTTGTCGTCTGACGTTTCATCCTCTGAGGAGTGTCCTCTATCCAGTCTAGATCGTCTAGTTCCTGACCGTAACCAAGTGATGCGTTGAGTTGCCTCCGAGAAAGAGTCAGGGCTGTAACATCTTGTCGACTTTCCTTTATCAGCCACATTCGTAGTAACTTCTGGAAGCTCGTCATCATGACCGGCAAATTACTTCTTGTAGAAGCGTCTTGATTTAGATTTGGACACTTCGATGGAGATTCTTTCGAATACCAAGACCCTCAGTGGAGCGGTCTTGTGGTACATATACTCTGATAATACTACCATGATTAACCTCTTACAAGGACAGTGAGAGTCTGATTCTGGGATACTTCTCTTTTATGATTTCTTTGTACCCCCAGCCTGATAATACAACTCATCGGCTTTGTGGTTGGAGCAACCTATCAGCTGTTGATTTGATTCCTCAGGTATGACGTGGTCATGTAACGAACACGTCTCCTTCCGAGTATGTAACGCATTATTGGCATTCTTAGGAGTCACGCATTTGGGGCCACGCCCTCGTGAGGTTGCATCCTTAATAGGCTCTTGGTCTTCTGCACGCACCCCCAAGCAGTCAGTTACAGGTATGGTCTTGTGCACGGCACACGAACATGTACAATGAGGTGTTCCGATTTGTTTGGAGGTGGTGGGACACCTTTGAGCAGTAGATGGCTTAACGGGAGGATGTGTATGACCTCTAGTCTGCGGAACTACTCTGGTTTTGTTCATCATAGCTTTGCCTCGATCTTCGTATGAAGGACTAAGGTGATCCGCCATCGTAATCTTGAATTTTGACAGGTCAATACCGTCGAGGGACTTCACCGAAGGTACGGGGGCAGTCGGAATAGGAACGGGGGCCGTCGAAGACGTAGAAAACTCCGCGGGAGACGAGGCAAGAGCCGG